CCGCCTCCCCCCATTTACATATCAACGCATTTATTTTTCATAATAATAATAATAATAATAGGAAAACTATTCAAGTTTTTCTTCATTTAAATCTATCAATACCTAAAAACCATATTTTTAAAAAAATGAATTCTTTTTTGGAAGCCCCCCTCGCCCCCCCCCGCAAAAAAAAAACACAACGCATGAAAATTTTCATTGATTTCATCATTATCATCATTATTCTATTTATTATAGTCGTAATGAAAAATTTTATTGTAAATTTTATTTATTAAACCAATTATTATTATTATTTTTATTAGGTACTATTGTTATTATTATTATTATCATTATTATAATTGCTAACTGTTAAAAATCTTCTGCAATAATTCAATTATTATTTTATGCAATAAAAAAAAAATGTTTTTTATTAATTGGACTGTTAATCTCTAATTAATAATCGTCTGCTGCTACCACCACTATTATTATTATTATTATTATTAATTTAATTAATTAATTAATTATTAAAATTATAAGCGTTTGCATTTTGCTGTCCTTCAGCTAAATTTATTTATTTATTTTTTTCTTTTCAGTGTAAAAAGTGTGGTTTCGAAGATTCCATTATTTGGGGGGAAACGAAAACGTATCCTGATATGAAAAATAAAATTTTTCCTTCAAATAGTACCTGAACGTCATTGATAAACCTGTAAGTAACCAATTTTTATTAAAGGTATTATTATTATTATTATCGCACGACACACGTCATTTTAATAATTATAATAAGAGAGAGGAAGAGAGAGAGAGAGGGGGGGGAGATTTTACTTATTAATAATTTTCGTATAAAATTATTAATAAGTAAAATATTTATGGGGTTGCTTGAAGGTTGGTTTGGTCTGTTGTTTTCATTTATTATTATTATTTTTTTAATAATAATTATCATCATTATTATTATTATTATTTAATAAATACATAATTTAACGATTAAATCGGGGGGCACGAGGAAGAAAATTAAACGGTAAACAATATTATTTATCCAGACAAAATATATATATATTGATAAGCGGTGTAAAGATCACGATGGACGATGAATAAGTTTCGAAAAAATTATTATTATTATTATTATTATTATTATTATTAATGATGATGATAATAATAATAATAATAATAATAATTTTTTTTTGTATTTACAAATGAAATCACATTAAACGGCGGTAAAAAAAAAAAAAAAAGAAAAATTTTTTTAAAAAAGAAATTAAGAGGAATAATAATGATTAATAAAAAAAAAAAAAAAATTTTTTTAATAATTTAAATAATTTATTAAATTTATTTTTATTTTTTTTATTAACAAGAAAAAGGTTAAAAGGTTAAAAAAAAAAAAAAATTCTAAATAATATTTAAAAAAAAAAACAAAAAAAAAAAAAAACGATCCAGCTTTAATAAGTTATATCATAGCTGATAGAAATTTTTTTTTGCTAACGTTTTAATAAATTGTTTTTTTTTTTTTTTTTTTTTTTTATACATAAGAATGATAAGTGCGAAAGGTTTCATTTGACAACAGATCGTTACGTAATTTTTGCTCTCGTTAAAACATTATTAATAATAAAAAAAAAAATTCAGGATCGTAAGCAAGAAAAAATAATAATAATAATTATTATTATTATTCGTACATATATTTTTTATTTTTTTTTTAATTACAAAACAAACAGTAGGAAAAACAAACAAACAAACAAACAAACGATACAAACAGTTTTTTTTTTTTTGTAACGACCTTTTTTATATTAAAACAAAAAAACTTTTCGATTCGATACGATTTATCGAATTCATTTCATTTTTTTTTAAAAATTAGGGTTAAATTATATTAATTATCGCGAGCCGCCATTTTTTCTTTTTTTTTCTAATTATTCTAAAACGATTTCGATAATTATTAATAAAGATATAATAATAATAACTCTCTCTCTCTCTTTTTTATAACCGTCGTTTTTGTTGTCTTTAACGATAGCAAATTATAATAAATAAGTAAATTAATAGCAAAATGACGCAGTCTGGCGGTAATAATTTGAAAAACAATTTTAATGTTATTCAAACGTTCTAATGCGATTTAAAAAAAAAAAAAAACCGTTGACAAATTTAAAAACGTTCGATTTCGTTTTTTGCAATCGATTATTATTATTATTATTATTATTATTGGGAAAATTAATAATTTCCGTCACTGTTTATTTATTCAAATCATATATTTTTCGTGAACGTGCGTAAATTTTTTTTTTTTTTTTTATGTTTGAATAAATATATATATATATATATATATATTCTGGGTGGCCCTTTGGGGTTAAAATCTAACCCGACCTTTTGTATATATATCGCAAATTTCAAATTAAATCAAACCGTGTTTGCCGATTGACAAGTTTTAATAAAAAAAAAAACAGACGGATTCGTTCGAATGGGTGGTCCGTTAGGGAAAAAAAAAAAAAAAAAAGAAAATCCCCAAAAACGTTAAGTTTCGTAGAAAACGAGATATCGCGAGAAAAAAAAAGACGTTGACACCGTTTCAATGGGAAAAAACAAATGTCTTATTTGATAAGGAAAAAAACGCACAATAAAATTTCCCTCCGCGAAAATTGTATTATTATTATTATTGTTAATTGCGAATATGTAATTTATTTAAGATTTTCCGATGAAATTTTCCGATAAAAAAAAAAAAAAACGGAAAATGTCATGTAATGCGTCTCGATAATCGGTTATTTTCCTTTATTCGATTTTATTATGTTTTATGATAAGGGTCACGTGTTCAGGGCTATTAATCTCACTTCCATTATTCAATTGTTGACTATTATTATTATTATTATTATTATTATTATTGAGTTGGTTTTTTAAAAAAAATGACCGTTATCTAGAGGTAATCACTATCGCTCTCTCTCTCTCTCTCTCTTTCTCTCTCTCTCTCTCTCTCTCTCTCTCTCTCTCTCTCTCTCTCTCTCTCTCTCTCTCTCTCTCTCTCTCTCTCTCTCTCTCTCTCTCTCCTCCACCATTTGTATCGAACATAATTAAAAATATTGCTCATATTTAATTCGTTGAATGAACGAAAAAAAAAAACAAATCGCAAATATTTATATATATATTTATTACATATAAAATTTTTAACAGTCTTTTAACAATGATTTAAATCTTAATACTAATTTTTATTATAAATATATAAAAATAATAATAATAATATTTCAAGTTATAATACAAATTTTAAAAAAAGATTTTCCAATCAATTACAAAAAAAAATATAAAAAGACATGTCGTTTCGTTTACATTTTACGTACGCGTACGTTTTTTTTAAATTTTTTTACGTTTTATTACAAATCGTTTATGTATATATATATATATATATATATATATATGTATTTTTAAAAAATTAATTTATACGGAAATAGCGATTTAAGAACAAAAAAAAAAAATCGAACTCGATTTTTCGATTCTCGAATTAATTTTAATAAATATTATCGAAACATTATCGAAATATTATCGAAACAAAAAAAAAAAAAAAAAAATCAAACATCAACATCAATGATGTTTGTTTGTTTAGTTACTTTTTTTTTTTCTTCTTACACGCGTCGATTGTTTACTTTAAAACGGGTACTTTAATCCACGTGTTTTATTATTATTATTATCATTATTATTATTATTATTATTATTATTATTATTATTATTATTATTATTATTTAATTAGTTTTATTTAAACTTTTACGATTGTTTTTAAATGCCGTAATTCATTGTTGTTATTATTATTATTTTTTTTCTTTTTTACGTTTTGATTTTTTTTTTTTGTAAGGGAGGAACGAATAAAATAATTAATAATAATAATAATACTAAGAGCCTTGTCGTGTTTAAGAGTGATAATAATAATAATAATAAAGGACGGCATATAAATTCCAGTAAAGTTTTTTTTTCGGGGGGAGTTCATTTCGATTCATTATTTTGACACGTGCTTGACACGTACCAACCACTTTTACATCATTCATATTATTTGTACTGCCATTTTAGAATTTTTGGTTCGCTTCAGTCTTTTTCTTCGTATTTTCATCGTGATATCGATAGAATATTGTTTTGCGTGGTAACTTGTCCATCTTGTGTGCTTGATCTGATCATAACCGCTTCGGGTATTCCCTTTTTTTTTTTTTTTTTTGGGAATCAGTTGTTCACGGGATGACTATTGTATCATTTCTCCATTTCCCAACGGCTCGAGTTCATCTGAAATAATAATAATAATAATAATAATAATAATAAATAATAATAAGGAGGGCGTGAATGAACACAAAGGTTGTTTAAATAAATTGATTGATTAATTAATTGTTTTTAAATAGTATTTCACTTGAACTAAACAATCGAGTGATAAGAACAACAGGTAGAAAAGGAAACTCAAGATTTATTTAATTAATGGATTGATTATTTAATATTTACTTATAGATTTAAATTAAAAGAAGAAGAAGAAGCGGAAACAAACAAATTTAATTCAATCCAAAGTCTTTTTTTTTCTTTTATAACGTCTTACGAACTTTGTACGGAAATCTAAAACAAATATTTCATCTTTTAGAGTCGTTCTAACGGTCGTTTTTACCTTTTCTTTTGTTGTTGTTGTTGTTGTGAATGAATCATCATCATAATGCATATTTTCATCGATTAGTTCTTGGGTTCCTTGTAAATCAATTAATTATGTCATTGAGAAAATCCATTGAATGATAATAATAATAATAATAATGAGAATTATAATTTATGGGGGGGTTAAATTTACTTAAACTTACCAAATGTTATTTTCATATGCTTCATGAGTTCTATGAACTAAAATAAAATAAGAGAAAATTTTTGAAAATTTAAATATAATCATGTCTAATGTTAAAAAAATAAAAAATTATAAAATTTACTTTTATAACAAGGCTGTGGAAAAAATTTAATGGAAGGTAATAATTTGTAAACTTTATTAATAACTCTCGCTTGACTTTCTAATTCTGCTTTCGAGTTCCATATTTTCACTGTGTCAAATTTTTCCCTAACAGATACTGTAAGTCCGCATATTTCATCTTCCTCGGTAATGGATTCTGAAAATTGTTCACCAATGGCTGCCAAAATTAATTCTTTCCAAACTTTCGACTAAAATAAAAAATAAATCCATGAGCTCTCTTTTTCTTATAGGACATAATATTTATATTTTTTTTATGTTATATGTTAAAATTAATGGTGGCAATTGTGAGATTTTGTCTCTCGAGTATAAAAAAAAAAAACTTTACTGTGTCATCTTTGTTGCATCTAAATCTCCATACTCCTCCATTTTGATTGTATGGTTCTTCCCAAATCGGTCGTCTTTCATCTCTCATCATGTGATAACTGTATCCGATTTGAATGCCTTTAACATCAGGTAAATTATTATAAACAGACCAAAATCCTTGTATTGTATCAAATGTGTATATTTTACTTAAATTTGTTTCATATTCTCTTGCTTTGGACCCTTTGACTGCTCTGTAATAATAATTATAGTTGTTATTGTTGTTGTTGTTGTTGTTGTTATTGTTGTTATTATTGTTGTTGTTGTTGTTGTTGTTGTACCTTAAAAACTATCAAGGTCAAGTGTTAGAAGTTATTTAAGTACGAATAACTTACTTATCCAACCAAAATGTCCATGAAGTTTGTAGAGGAGTTTCGTTTGTTGTTTCATTGTTGTTAGGAAAATTTACATTCGAACATTTCAAAAATTGTGAATTTATTGAAAAATCATTTTCACTCGTCGTTAACGACAATTTTTCAATCGAAGAAGCCATTTTTAAACACACACACGCACGCACGTACGCACAACGATTCGATTAATTTGAAATTTCAACAATACGTTTGCCGCATTTCTCTCCCTCCCCCCCCCACACACACACACAATTTCAAACGTCAAACCATTACCAAATGAATTTATTACTAGAAAGTACCTTTTAAAAAAATGGCTTCTAATTGTTTTTATTTAATTTTACATTCCGTTTTATTTATATTAACAGTTTTTATCGTTCAAGTTTACTGTGATTCAGGTAATTTTATTATTATTCCTAATTTTTTTTTTTTTTTAAATTTCTTTTTTAATTTATTTTATCATTTGATATTGGAAACATTTTCCAAAAAAAAAAAAAAAACTTCTCACTTCAATTCCTTTCTTACTTTTTATTATTATATTTTACCTGAAATCTTATTATTATTATTATTATTATTATTTAGTAGGAAAAATGGTCGTGAATGAATGAATTAAATAAAACGTTTTTAACGCTTTTTATGTTTTACAAACATTTTCCACAATTTAAATATATATATATGAACGCGTACGATTTCATTTAAAAAAAAAAAAAAAATTTTTTTCCCTAATTATTGTATGTAGTAGTGATTCGTTTTAAACGATTTCTCAATATATTATTATTATTATTAATTTTTTTTTTGCAAAAAATAATTAACGTAAACTCGTACTTGATTACCTTGATTCTGGCTGCAGGATATTTTTGTTATAATTATTATGATGTGGATGGATTATTTGTACTTTTTTTAAAAATTATATATATATACATTTTACTTTATGTAGTTTAATGCATATATATAGCATTGTTTGTAAAACATTAAGTAAATAACGAGAGTCTTAAGATTTGTTCGTTATGAAACTCGTCAAATATGAAATCTAAAATGATTCGAGAGTAAAGTTAATGAATAAATAAATAAATAAATAATAATAATGATAATGATAAGTAAGAGTGACTGATGATATTTGCAGTGTTGGTAAATATAAACAAAACAACTTATTTTTTATTAATAATAATAATCGTTAAGAGAAGATTAAGTTTATTTTTTATTTCGTAAACAATTTCTAAAAAAAATTGGGAATATTTATTAAATGATAAGCATTATTAATATAAATTACATCATATCATATTATTATTATTATTATTTAAATGGATTTAATAACCATTTGTTAAATTTTTATTACTTTCTCTCTCTATCTATCTCTTTCTGACCGATGGGGAATTTGTATTCGAAAGACAAATTTATCTCTCTCTTTTTTTATTTTATGTTTAATTGTGCAATAATTAAAAAATTAACTATTGATTAACTATAAATTTTTTTTGGTGAAAATCGAGGGGGAGAGAGAGAGAGAGAGAGATAAAACGAAATGTTTGTATTATAATAATTATTGATCGTTTGTTATTTGAATTTTTTTTGTTTTGGTTTAAAATATTTTGCTCCATTCTAGAATATTCTTATATTTTTTTAAAAATGTATTTGAATTTGATTTCATTATCATTATGATGATAAATGTTTTTAATTGTTTTGCTTTGTTTTTTCATTTCGAATATTACACCTAAACATATTCGAGATTTGCATGAGATTTGCATGCATGTAATCACACGAAATGCCATATTAAAAAAATTTTTATTCTGTAGTATTTATTATTATTATTATTATTATTCATTAATTATTATTAAAACAAATCCTTAATCCTTATTAAAACAAAAAAAAAAAAATCATAAAAATCGGGAAATTTTTATCAAAAAAAAACCCAAAAAAATTTTTTTTTTTTTTCCCTAATTATTTAAATATTTATTTATTATAAATAAATAAATAAATAAATAACTTTACGTTGCATATTTTTTTTTTTTTTCTTTTTTCTTTTTGTTTACAAAAATAAAATGTAATAATAATAATAATAATAATTTTTTGCTGTCGTTTCAAATTGTGTTTAAACAATGTTTTTTTTTTTTTTTTTTTTTTTCAAAAAAAGGAAAATTTTTATTTATTTGATTTATTTATTTTTATTTATTTATTTTTTTTTCAGGCGGGTATTATAGTTTAGAAAATGATAATGGGAAAAATATTGATGGTGGTATTGTTGTCGTGCCATTGGTGGTGGCATCGTCGTCTCGTGAAAAACGTCAAGCAACGAGTCACAATGATAAAAAATTGAATGA